AAACAAAATGGATGGGTTTCAACTTTATGCTGCATGAGTTTGAACTAGGATTTTTTTTTTTTTTCTCCTTAATAAGACACAAGAATACTTTTTTTCAAAAGTTTTATTAAAATACAATAAGAGTACAATAGAGTCTCGCTTTGTCATTCACACGTGGAGGAAAGGGCTGGGACTTGGAGCTCCCTTGGCTGATTGTAAATCTTGTAATTAAGTATGAATGTTTTTCTTTTTTATTCTATTTATTTGTTTTAGTTATAATTTGTTTAATTTGCTACGAATTTCTGTATTTTTTTAAATTTGATTTCAAGTTACATTTCTTTGGTTTTTCAGTTTTTGCCTTTGTTTTACACCCACATACATATATATATATATATATATATATATATATATATATATATATATATATATATATATATATATATATATATATATATATATATTTTTTTTTATTGTGTTGTATATATAGTATGAATGTGGCTCACTCAGTTTTAGTACTGATTGCCCTTAAATGTGGCAAAATGTATTATTTCTCAATAAAAAGATCTTAAAAAAAATGATATATCAAACGATTTGTTTTTTTATGTGCAATAAGAAAAATATATCGCTAATTGTATTAAACGAATTATAATGTTTACTTCTTTTTTTTTATTATTCTTGTTTTTATTATTTTAATGGAATTTACAACTGTATTACATAGAAAATACAATAAGTAAATGTGAAATTGGTAACATGACATGTTGGTAACATGGCAACATGAAGAGAAACTACCCATTGGTAGACCTCAAATTAAAGTTCTATATTAGAAGATCCCGAGGCCATCTTCTTTTCAGACGCCTCGGAGGGTTATCGGGGATCGAGGAGGACGCAAGGTTTGAAACGAGAGGATTCGGATGGTTGTGCAGTTTGTTATGGAAGGACAGGTATCTGGATTGGGCCAAATTGGAAACATATGGAACATTAAGGTCTTTATGGATGATTTTATTTGTGACAAAGTAAGGAGCGTTGAGGATTTTACGAAGGATTTTGGATTGTAAGGATTGGATACGAGATGAATTCGATGGTTTAGTGGAGCCCCAAAGCTCATAACGTATACTAAATAGCAAAACCGCATAGACGCTTTTAGTAAGGTTGGTCAAGTAAATTTTTGTCATGAGAAAACGATACAGATTGAGTTTGTTTTGAAATAAAAAGATATTTTGGTTTAATATTCCGGGAGGATTTTTTGTACAGTGTTTACTGAAATATTATTCTATAAATCCTCAAAATTTTCTCTTATGTCAACGTTACAACAACCGTTGGAAAGCTAAACCTTTCTAACTGATAAATAAAGAAAAACTCCTCAAAAGTTTTTATTTTGTATTTGCGGGTTTCTGGTTTGTGTATATTATCGGGACTTGAATTTATGCTAATTTTCGTACGTATAAGTAAAGCCATGCCGAAGTTTAAATTCGGTCAAGCTATCTACTCAAAATATCGTTACATACTTTTTAGCGGAAAGATTAAACACGTTTTGCACAGTAATTTGTCAGAATTTTGAGCTCAAACCATTTCAGAACACTCACTGGATATGACTGAATAATTTGAGCTATTAGACTTAAAAATAGATCCAGCCGTTTTGCTTGTCTGGGTAAAAAGTTACGAAATGAATGTGAGCGCAGAAGTTAGTTCTTCAGTTCGTGTACTAAAATTAGATATTCAAGAGTTGTGAACATGAATTTAAAATACAATGCAGTACTCTGGCTTTCCCAGAGGATCCCAGCCATAAACTGAATGACCACTAACCCGAAATCTTCACCGAGGATGAGGAAGCATCAAAAGGCTTCTTGTAAGACTACCAAGCGGCTTCTAGATGTATCTTCGCTGTAGTCAGCGACCCTGCTCGAGTGGCTTATCTTCTACGTGGACGAGGCACATTTCTGCCTCCGGGATAAGGCTCAACAAGAGATCTCTTCAGGATAAACACGTACGACAAAAAAAAAAAGCCAAAAAATTCCTAGTCCTCAAAGACACTCTAGTTTGTATTCTTGGTACTATTTAATAATATTAACAATTTGTATCATAACGAACTATGAAAATATATCGATTGCGACACTATATAATCGTTAAAGAGTTACGTAAACGATTCTTGTGTAATAAGGGGATGTTCTTAACTATTTTCCAATCATATGTAAAATTAATTTTTGTTTGAATTAATATAAATTAATGAATAAATTGATTTAATATTCACTATCCCTGCCATAAAATATAATATATTCATGATTAAAAATATTACGGATAAAATTAATATAAATTGATAGGAACAGTTTTTGTAATATTACATTGCCATCCCAAAAATAAATCCAAAGATAAACATATTTAAAAAAAGAAATACGTTGTAAAATCCTGTATCTAAGATCTTAGCTCAAAATATATTTGAGCCATTGTAAATAATAAAAACCTGGTACACACACCAAACAACGTTCATTTACCGCTGTAATCGGAACAGAAATTAGTGTCAGGCAAATTGGGGTCGTTACAAAAAGTTGTTTAAGTCAATTTTTAATGGAGCTAAAATGTATAGAGCAAATTAGTGAAGTTCGGTCATATACCAGCGCAAAAACTCATTAAGACGATAAAAATAACACAGACCATATTTTTTATATCGACACATGCCTATATTTGTTATATAGGCAGTAAAAAAAGTCTACATACAAATATAAGAAAAGTACTTTAAAAGTACTTATATATTTAATTAATTTTATAAATAAAATCATTATGACTTTTTACATATATTTAATGTTATTTTTGCCCTTATATAATCTACTAAACACAGTTACCGGCTTTTCAGTAAGCATCGATATATCAAAACTCGACGCACTAATGGTAAGAGTGTGGTTTCACAGATGGAAAATTCATCAAATTGTCCACTGATTTGATTTCTTAAAATGTTGCGGAATGATATTATGATTAAATGATGTAAAAATTCTCAACAGAAAAGCTATACAAAGCTGATGACCACTACACAATACGTGGCAGAAAAAACTATTATTTCTTTATGATTTACTAGTATAATATCAAATTTTATTTCTCTTTGCTATTATCTTTTTTAGCAGATTACCTATAGCAGTTTCAGACTACAAAATGTCACCTTTAGTACAATGAGAATAAACATGTAAACTAGTTACATACGAGCTTTTGCACTAACTGTAGCGACGTGTTTTACTCATCCATGAAATATTTCTGTCTTCCAATTCATCTTTAACACAAGTACAATGGAATAGTTTTTAAACAATTTCATTGCCTCGATTTAGTAGATTATACATACTTTTTTTAAAAACATAAAAATAATTTTAAAAATTTGTATTTAGTGGGGGAATTTCATTTTGTTTCCATGAAAACATATGGTTTCCGGTAAATGGTATTAATTGTCAGAACTTTTTATATATATATATGTAAGTGAAAATTAATATGACATTCCTTAATTGAGAACGAAAAAAATATGTGCTACAAAAACTATAATAAACTATAAAAAAATCTTATAATTATGTTTATAGGGTAGATCAAATAACAGAAAAATACTGTACTAGAAAAAAAAATATATTGAAAACTGCATCTCAGAATATTGAATATATTTAATTTTTTTCATATAAATAAAATATTATTATAGATGACATTACATTTTTTATTGACTATATTAAAGAAAGAAAGAAATACTGTGCTAACGTTTTATTTTAGAATCTAGTAAATCAGGGATTTATTAAAAAGAAAACTGTCTAAGTAAAACTAAATATTCCGAAGCTCTCTTGTTTGCTTTGGTTTGGTTCCAAGGGGAAGAGTCATTCGCCAAAAATCCAGAAGAACTTCTTAAAGAAAGTGATGCATTTTTTTTTATACGTATTTTCCCCAATTTCTATTTCAGCTTTCCTCTCTGATCTTAAGGATGCATTTGGAATCAAAACTTATATTCCTATCTTGATTTCGAGCCTCTCTTTAAAATAATTTGTTAGTTTCGTAGTTCTTACATTTTTTTTTTTTTTTTTTGATGTGTGAATCGCTGAAGATTATTTTTCACATTGTAAAACGATACTTTGTTCTTTCATTTGAACCATCCACATTTTAATGCATGGGATATAATAATGATAACGATTTCTAAAGCCACATGAATATCTATCTGATAATTTCTATATATCATATTTGTTTGAATAAATTTTTCTTTCTAACCTTGTTTTGATTTGATCATGTCCTTGTTCAAGTACAACTGTGTTGGTGAATATATTTCTAGTCTTGTAACGCATAAATTTCTTACTCGTATGCACCGCGGAATTTTTTTAAGTTTCCTTGAACATTTTTATTACAACGTTTCATTTTTTTTTTTTAAATTCACCCAATAAACCTCCAAAAGATTTTTATAATAATATTAAAAAGTGCACTGTTTGTCCAAGATTAATTTGATAATAAACGTAATTTTGAAGATTATCTTTTCCTTAACGTGCGAATAACAAGCACATCCTCTAGAAAAGTCGAGAAAAAAAGTTATTAAGAAAAGTAAATTTTATTTCCACACAATTCAAAACGTATTTTTTCGAGAAAAAAAAAGCAGAATTTGACAATTTTTAGCAAAGATCCAACCAACTGTAATTTGTACTTATGTTTCGTTTTATTATTTTAAATGAACCTTCTTAATCGACCAAAGAAAAGAGAATTAATTCCTCCCCCTCGATATTTGTAAGAAGGTCCATTTTTGGATAATAAATTACATCCTTTGCAAATTACTTCTAACTTGTTTCAAATTTTAAAAGTTTTTATATTAAATAAAAAAAAAAGATCCAATTTATATTTTAATAAAATTGTATTCGTCTGTCAACACTTCTAAAATAGATATTAAAAATGAATATTTTGGGTTTCAGAAATATTAATAAAAAATTCTCATATTTATATGTTATATTTACAAATCTGTAAATAAATAATTATAATTTTTCTTTAAATTTTATTCCTAATATTGAGTTGTGACTTAGACTCACCAAACACGTAGCTCTCGCACTGCTTAGGAACGGTCCCACCATACACAAGACCACGCAGAGCCGTTCTGGTTAAGACTGAGCTCTTGTAGCGCCGCCGTGGAGGGGAGGGGGCGCAGGCGTCGTTGGGGGTAGGTCAGGGAGTTATCTGGATGTAGTGGTTCGTCGAGTCCTCAGGCTTGTAGGGAAGTCGTCTTGGCAAGAAGAACCAGGAGGAACTGATCTCGGTGAAATAGTCCAATATGGATGAACTGAAGAGATCTTAGGATCACATAATTGATGGAATCCCGAAAATAAACGGAGGTGACTGAATCCTGTGGAAAGTCTTCGATCTAAACTGAGAACAATCCATTGGAGGTTTTTTTTTTATCCCTTTGAACGTACTGAGCAAGAGTCGAAAACGGCAAAATGATTAAAGCTAATTAAGACCCCAATTTTAACCTTAAAAGACCGAACCTGCTGAGAGTTTTCGAAAGTCGTAAGTCACGACCCAAATAAAATGAGGTTATACTGATATTTACGTTGTCAAAACTTCGCCATTGTTGAAATTCATCTATACCAAACAAAGTGATCTTGATCATATTTATCATGTTGGGGTGACATTTGTAAAGCTTTGTCAGTAGTCTAAGCAATACAGGAAAAATTAATCGTATACTTTTGGGTCTCTGATCACGAATTTGAGGTTTCTTTAAAACTAACTTTTTTAACTTATTTTTTTCTGTATCTCATAAATCTTATTTTGTTTTTCAAGAAAACCTACTTGTATAAAATTAAAACAAACACATTGACTATATTTCTCACTTCATCTTTCGTGCATACTATTTATTTTCAAGCTTATTTATTATCAGCCAATTTTACATAAATTTTTAAATTATGTCAACTTAATGACTACACATCTAATTACGACGTTGAATTTGAAATGAATTAGCTAATATTACTTAAAATAGGTCCGCATATAATATTGGGAACAATCATTCTATATGTTTATAATAAATAGTCTTCCCCTACTCCTTTAAGAATAATTAGTCACTGAATGGAAATGAGACTGATGACATGTCTGTGACACTTGATTAGGTAATTTTAACTTATTTGAATCATTTAACAAGAAAGAATTGAGTAACATTAATGTTATAAAATAATTTAAGGTGGACGTGACAAGAATAAAAAATTTCATTATGAGTGGACGCAGGCAATTTGCATAAGTGAAAAGTACAGGTACCTGTTTGGTATTCAGGTATATATAAAGAATCTTTATATTTTGAAATATGTAATGTTTAAATATGATTGTAAATTAAAAAATTTTTTAAACTTGAAAATGGCTCAACGAGCCGAAACGTCGTAATTAGATGCGTAATCATTAAGTTGACATAATTTAAAAATTAGCTGATAATAAATAAACTTGAAAACAAACAAATTGTTTTACCTTTTTTCGGTAAAATATTTGCACACTTTTGACCTTTAGACCGCTAGGGTGCGATTTGAAAATGGACATACTCTCAAAAGTTGCATAAATTACGTTGTCTTTCATCAAAACTGCCCATATTACCCTCTTTCTTAATTTCCACAATACATAAAATTACTTGCGTATTTGGTATATTGGATCAAATATCATTATCAGAGAGAAATGGCTGTGAGAGAGATCCAGCAACACTCCTTTACCATTCCTTTAGTTATGGAAAATTCCAAACATCTTCCTTTTAAACATTTTATTTTACCATATTTCAACCAAAAACATCAATTCATGTTTATAATTTATTTTTGTTGTGTTCGTCTTCAATTTAAGCTTGAAAACTTATAGCATATGACCATAGAGATTTTGATTTGAAAAAGAAACATCAGCTCGGTATCATTTTAAACATATTGCTGACGTGTTTTGCCATCGTTATTGCAATGCCTCAGTCCGCTATCTATGTCAGGAAACCAATGTTTCGAAAAAGATGTTTTAAAGAAGTGAAAGAGAAAGGACTGCATGCAACAAACACTTAAAGAAGAAATTACCTACAGTTTCACAAGAGATCGATCTTCTTAGATAGATATCTATATCTCCATTCATCTCGAGTTTATTATAAATATGAAATAAGGTATGTTTTTTCTACAAGCAGTTTAGAATTGCTGCTTTCTTCCAATTTATTTATTTTCCTTTTACTACACCTAACTACTCTACATTCTAAGGTTTGGTTGATTTTATTCTCTGCGTTTGATATACCGACTATCCATATATAAATTATGGTTTTGATTTTGTCGGGAGCCATAATTTTTTCACTAAATATTTCTTTTATCTAAGCCCTTAACCATTATTCTCAACTTAGATTGTGGTTCCCTAGGATACGGTGGAGTGTCTGATGAGCATGGCATTAGATTGAAGAGACTAATGAATTATTTCATTAGTTTCATATTTCGCGCTCCCACGTCTCCAGTTTATATAGTCCGCGTTGAAGTGGCTCTATCCAGTTTTCCGACGAAATATTTTCTATTCCTAACTTTTACAAACAATAGACCTCCTTACCCTCTTGATTTATTTTCCTCATGTTCCTCTGTCCATTGTTTGAATACGAGATCCTAGCCCACAGATATATATATTATCATGTTATGTATGCTCTCTTGTTTAAGAATTGCTTACCCATCTTCATTCGCAAAAATTAATCTTTAAGTTCATTTGAACAACTGTTATTTTTCCACCTCCTTAAATATAAATCTTCCCAATATATGTAAGAATTAATTTTTTTTTTTACTCATTGATATTTACAACTGTGTTATAAAAAAAAAAAAATACAACTAGTAAATGTGCACACAGTAATAATACAATCACATGAAAACGCTTGTTGATAAAATACCCATTGGCAGCACTCTAATAATATATTTACATTAGTAGATCACAAGGCCATCTTCTTTTCATACGCCTCGGAGGGTTATCAGGAATCGAAGATGAAGCAAGGTTTGAAACTGGAGGATTCGGATGGTTCTGGAGTTTGTTATTGAAGGATAAGTATCTGGATTGGGCCAAATCGGAAACATATGGAACATTAAGGTCATTATGGATGATTTTATTTGTGACAAAATAAGGAGCGTTGTGGATTTTACGAAGGATTTTGGATTGTAAGGATTGGATACGAGAGGAATTCGATGGTTAAGAATTAAATAATCTTATTTTAGAGTTTCTAGCCTTACGTGACTTTTATTTTATTCTTATTTCATTGTTATTATTTATATTGATTACCTGTGCAAACATATGAATATCCAGTGCAAACATTTATTTATAATCCATAATTTTATTTGTTTTCTTATATTATTTTTCTATTTTAATTTTAATGTTACATGACTTTGTAATTCCTATGTTTTTTTATGTTTTAAAAACAGTTTAATTTACAAATATAACACTGTTTATAGTTTATGTATTGAATAGTAACAACAAACAATTTGTTATTTAAAAAAAAAATATGTAGACAAGAAGTACATTAACATAGACTATTAATAAACTACTAGTCCTTGAAAATCCTTTTTTCCTTGATTCTTAAATGACCTCTTCCAAGGACAAACCGTGCAATTTGACCTTGGTCATGAAGTGTTCTTCTGCATACATTTTCGTGTTGAAAGCTGTTCCGAAGTTCTATTAGTTCAAGAACTGAGTCTCTTTTTCCCACTTTAAAAACTTCAAAATTTAATAAAGTCATCACTATAAAGCAATTGGGAAATTATATAAAACAAGCATGCCCTCCGATCAGACAGCTGTCTTTCTCCCTGATGCATTCGACGTATGAAATATTTTTTATTATTTATATATATATATTATTATTATTATTAAGATTTTATATTTTTATACTTTATTCCTATATACAATATAATAATAATATAGTCTATTACACCCACCCCACCCATTCGTGGAAGTTTCGCACTTTAACATGACTATTAGAGCTAACTTTATTTTTATTAACTTCACAGGGACTGGAAAACATCTCTTCATTGGATTTCTTACGTAATAATGTTCTGCTGTACCTGAACTTCCATTATTGGTCTCGCTTAAGACCTATTCGTTTGTTACAGAAAAAACTTGGCTTGCAGTTTTATCATTTACTAAGAGTACAGAAGCCATAACCTGAATATTCTTTTATTGATTAATAACAAGTGGGGTAGCCCTTGTCCTTTATAAATTATAATAGCAGGATAATAAGATTGAATTTAATTTTTTTTTTAATAAACGTTAAACTTTGTTAATGATTTTTCATGATGTGTAGTACTTAAAAATTCTAGGCAGTTATTTTTTTTTTTCATATGTATAAGTTGATAACTCTAAGTGTAAAATGGCTTAGTGGTCGTTTTGTCCTGTAGAGAGGAGTATGTCGTTGTGGGTTTTATACTAGCGTGATATTTGGGCCAGAAAGCCTAAACACCTTAGAATTTATACCCAGTCGTGTTAGCTCTCTGAAAAGGGGTTGAATGGAGAGTGGGCTGTAAATTTAAGCGAGTATCACGGTTAGGGACCACATATGACTTTTTGCTTTTAGGGGCCTAGTATAGAATATTTACATTTTTGCATTTAAACTCAACATTTTTAAATTACGTATCGAGAAATATTTCAATTTGGGAAAAAACCAAACAAAGGGGGGACTAACTTATAAGCTAATTTACTAAACACAATTTACAACTTTAGAACTGCATGAATAAAAACAACAAGAAGATTTATTATTAACATATAAAACATGATTGAAACTTGAAGAAGCTATCCATTGGTTGGTACTTGTTACCAATGGCGTTCAATGATTAGATTTAGACCAACTTCTTTTCGCCTTGGAGGATTGGGATGAATCATTTTTGATTAAATATTATGAACCAGAGGTTTAGGGTTACTCACGAGTTTTGAGTTAAAAAATAAGTATCCAATTCGGAAAAAAGCAGCAACAATGAGAATATTTAGCTCTTTATGGATAGTTTGCTTTGTGATATAAAAAGGAGCCCTAAGGATTCTGCGGTGGATTTTGGATTGTAGGGACTGAATATCAGAAGAATTCGATGATTTCTTGGAGCCCCTAATTTCAATTTGGCATGGCCAAATAGGCCAAATGATGTTGTTTTTTTTTTGCAGTTAATTGGAAATTTAGAGTATTTGTCAAGT